ACGTTTCTATCTTCTAGTGAACTTCTCTCTAAACCCTAGTGTTACACACTTCACCAACACGCTTCAAAACCAAAAATGGACGAATGAACCTAGAGTTCAACTTTGGTGTTTCTACAAGAAACAAATTTGTTGTAGATAACTAAACATGATCTCCGACCTCAAAAATCACTTCTCTACGATGATCATGCTGTTGAAAAGTTCAGAAAAAATTGATGCATCTTAAGTTCAAAATTCACTTTCTGCCTGAATACTCTAGAATCCTAAACGAGGAAGACACCACATTGTGCCCCATGTTACAGAACTCTTACCGCTGGAATTCATACGTCTCTTCGATCTTGAACATTTCTAGCTTAATCTGTGTTCATGACATCACAACGCCATAGTTTACGGTCATGAATCCTCTTTGATGCTTTCAGTGATTCGCGAAATTTATATCAAGATTGAAACTCAACACGATGCACCAATGAATTAATTATGGTTGATTTAAGATGCATACGATATTGATGAAAAAATGATTGTTTATAAAATTATCTTGGTTTAGTAATTGTTTCAATATTTCTTTTGCTATAATAATCATAGACCAATAAAAAAAGGGATATCTTTTTCAATATATATATTATTATAAAATGTAATTTAGATCTTAATGTAGTGATACACTTAGTTTTGATTTCCTTTTACTTAGATTACTAAGAAGAATTAGAATAATATCATCAGACTAAAGAAATTTAAAGCATTTTCTAAAACTTCTCCATTTTGCATATAAAAGATAAAATGTATCAAACATGATAGCATTGTATGATTTTTGAAATTTTTATAGAAAATAAACTATATATTTTTATCTTAAAATTATGTTGTTAAGGTTAAACTTATTTATCAATGCCAATGATGATTTTTTCAATTAATGAGCATATCAAATGTACATGCTCATCTAGCTAAACCAGTAAAAGAACACTTCATACATTTAGAAGAGATGGATTAATCTAGTTGAATAATGAAATAATATTTCAAGTTACTATTGATTATGTAATGATGCATGCTCATTTGTAAAACGTTTAATCAAAATTTGGAATAATTTAACATATATCACTCATGATACAAATTGCTAAGAAAAACATCTTTTCAAAATTGATGAAATTGTTTGAGGGATGAGAAATATAATTCGATATATTTCGCATTTATCTTTTTATTTAAAAAAAATTGAAATTTTGAGAGTTATATTTTTTATGAGTGAATTATAATTGAATAGATAACAAGTAAAAATAAAAATTTGGTATTTTTTTACTTTTTTAAATTTTTTGTTTGCATCAAATGATTATTAAAAACTAAGTGAGATGAAAAATAAATATTATGAATTTTTTCTTATGATATTCATATATTATGTAAAGTAGATTTTTTAAATGAAAATTTATTGAGATAAATTAGTTTTTAAAATGCTTATATAATGTTTTGACATTCCAAAAACTTGATTCAATACATGAATTGAATTTTGTCACAATTTTTGTTCTAATTTAATATATTTGTTATTACATGCAAAAAACAACTAGATCCATACATAAGATGTCTTATCATGTTGATATTTTTAATCTACTGATCTTTTATACAATCAAGTTAGACTCACAATTTGTTATTATTGAAGAATTTCATCATAGACATAATTTTAATAGGTTTTGTTTTTATACATCTATCATGTGTGTAGTAGCCGTGACTAATTCTTGTTACAACAAACACAATAATTCATATATTCACAAACAAGAAAAATCAATGACAGAAAAATACATTGTTTGCTATTCTTGAATTCCATCCACAGAAATTTTAAAAAAATTATTACAACAAAGACAATAATTTTTATACTCACAACAGTAAAAAACGATGACAAAAAAATTCATGGTTTGCTATTTTTAAACTCCGTACAAGAAAATAATTATATTTTCATTAAAAATGTACAATTGTTCATGTCGAGCTACGTCTTGTTGTTCATATGTTTGGTAGTTGGAAAGCCTAATATTGATCTTAACTAGTGGAACTAATCATAATATTAACTCTTACTCTAGTTAATTTCACTTTGGATTAATCTAAGACTTAAGTTACTATTAACAATATTATTGTTAACTCATTTCGTGGATACACTAAAGTATATAATATTTTTTTGAGGTATAAGTTGCGTTATCAAATACTCAAAAACCAAAGATGAAGGAGAAACATTTTCAGAAAGTAACTCTGAGCTACTCTTCTACAGTTATGTAAATCATGATATGCACAAGACCTCACATATCTCATACAATAAAAGATTATTAAATTTTAAAACAATATTTTCATCAAATATTATGATAATATATTTAAACTCAAAGTAAAATGATGTTTAAAAAGAGATTCAAGATTTTTTAATAGAACATATCATCTTGCTTTGCAATAAGTAATATGTTACATTACTTGACGAACAAACTGTCTTTAAATTCAACAATTTTCCACTAATGAGCTATGATAGATTTGGATCATGATATACATGAGGATGACAAATTGTCGATGAATAGTACATATTCACTATTTGATCTTGCTTCTCCTTCATAATTGATGCTTGTCTTATTTGTTAAGCAACTTGAATTGTAATTCCAGCTCTACAATTCTTGTTTAACATCTTTCATTCAAAATTGATCCAACAACTTGTTGATGTACTTGTACTAATGTAGAAAATATGATCCAACAAATTGTTAACAGCAACTAGAAGATCACTGATCTTGCAACTAGCATACAAATGATCTTCAGTCAAGACGAGTCAAGATTTGAACAAAGATTCAACCCTACGAGATGTTATGATACAAGTTATTTTTGGAAACGCGAGATTAAAATATCTACAACAAGAAAAGCCACTACAAAAAAACATGTAATCCGTGACTCTCATACTATAAACTACAAAATTCTTCATTGAAACCTACAATTGTTTAAAAGAAACTGTGTTTCACTTTCCATAGTTAAAACTCTAGAAATAAGTTTTACTAGGATAGGGAATCCTAATCTAAACTATAATAATAGTCAAAATTAATTATCATTTGACTTAGGTTAATTTGTATACAAATCTAAACTTGAATTATTATTGACAACTATATAATCTATAAGCATGTAATGCCAATGAGTATTAAAAAATCAAGTAGATGTGAGAATTCAAGGATATACCTTGTTGATTCAAGGAAGTATATGATTTTAGAATTTTGCAAGATCAACGTATCAAAGATCACGTTTGATTTAAGAAAAAAATTCTTCAATTATTGCATATCATCAAAAGTTGCTATATGAAGTAATGTCCAAAAGCCTGTATATCATAAAGATTGGCAAGAAACTACTATCAAGTGTTTGAAAGTGGAAGCAAAATAATCAAAATAAGTTCAATAGAATAAACCTACATGTAAATTTTCATCTATTCAAAATAAAATAAGTTGTAAATGAAAATATTTGGAATACCATGGATTTTGCAATCTTTGTTTAGTGAACTAGAATTGGTTCTTGACATTCCTAAGAGTTTACTCCATAGAGATTCGATGAGTAGAATAAAAGAAGTTTGGAATGTTAAGAACAAAAACTGATCACATATAAAGATCACAAAACTCACAAGCAAAATTAAGGATATATCAAGATTTGATGAGTCGAATAGAAAAAGTTTGGAATGTTAAGAACAAAAACTGATCACTTAACAAAGATCACAAAACTCACAAGCAAAATTAAGGTTATATCAAGATTTGATGAGTCGAATATAAAAAGTTTGGAATGCTAAGAATCAATACTGATCACTAAACAAAAATTGCAAAATCTACAACAAAGAAGTTTAGAGGAAAGTATCCATGGAGTTTATATTTAAGTGAAGTTGACGTAAAATTGATAGATTTCAACTCTGATCTAACCAAATACAATTGTGCTATAATCAAAGATTCATTTGAATTAATCCATAGATACATTGGTACATCTTGAAAGAAAATTAATAACTTAAGATTTGTTTCATACTTATTCTACAAAGCAAAATCATAAAATCATCTCGGAAGTATCTAAAAATCATCGTAAAAGGAGTTGTACATATCAAAAGTATCAAAAAATCAATATCTTAAGACTTGATTCATACGTATTCTTGAAAGAAAAATCATAAACTCATCTCGAAAGCATCCGAAAGTCAGTATATTAAAACATGGTTGATAATTGTTTTCGAAAGAAACCCATAAAGTCATCTCGAAAGTATCCCAAAATCACTATATTAGAACTTGGTTGATAACTGTTCTCCAAAGAAAACTCATCTCGAAAAAATCAGGAAGTCAGTATAATAAAACTTGGTTGATAACTTTTCTCTTAAAAAAACTCACAAACTCAGCTCGAAAACATCTGAATATCAGTATGCTAAAATTTGATTTATAACTTTTCTCTAAATAAAAATCATAAACCTTCTTCTTGAAAGCAAAATTATAACTCACAGAAAGTGCTACTGTTCACGTCAAATTATCTTGACGCACACTGCCTGCTGGCATGAGAAAAATGGCCAATTTTCCAATGGAGTGCGGGATCACGAAGGAGCGGAAACTCCGGAGGAGCATAAAAGGCCGAGGAGGCAAACAGGGCAATGCGATCTTGAAGATGGAACCAACGAGGGGATTCTTGAAATCCATCGCCCCAAGCGGAGACTATTTATAGAGAGAGGAAGGCAGGCCCGGCTCGACTCGACGCGGACCACCGGCCCGAGAAGCGCGGGTCGCTGCGAAATTCCAAATTCGAGCAAGTGGCCGCTCCGCCATCATGGCATTCGAAAAGCAGCAGCGGAGGAGCGTCTAGCTAACGAGACAGACAGCGCCTGTACAAAGCAGCAGCCGCGCAGGGATCCGCTCCGGGCAGCGGGAGGCAGTTGACCGACCCCCAGCCCCTGGCCCCCTCCCCCCCACCCTTCCTGTCCTCCCCCAGCGGGGGATGGGGCAAGGGGAGGAGGGGGAGGGGGTCCGATTAAGAATGGGGCTGCCAGGCCTTCCGGGAGCTTTAAGGGTTGTCCGCAGGAGCGCTGGTCCGGGCCAGAGCGAGCGCGCCAGCTGCGGACCTGCTGTCTGTCACACGGAGAGAGGAGAGGAGACGAGACGAGAGGAGCCAGGAGAGGAGGTGGTCGTCCTCGGGCGACGAGGACGAGGAGCACTTGCGAAGAAGGCCTTTGAAGGCTTGCTCGCCCGGAGGCAGGAGGGGGCGATTATTCCTCCTCGGTCGACTTCACGAGGTCGAATGGTGCCCGGCGGTGCAGCTCCAGCGCCAGCCCGTCGTCGCGCATGGAGTGAGTCTCAGCAGACGACGAGGCGGACGGGCCTTTGCTGGTGTCCGTAGAGCGAGCGCAGTGCAGTAGCAGGGCGGGGTCGTTCTGAGGCTGGGTGGCCATCTCCGCCGAGCTTATGCCTGTGCTCAGAACTTGTTCGGTGCCGTCACGACCGTGCTCGCCCGCAGGAGAAGGAGGAGGAGGAGAAGGATGCATCCAGGTGTGGGCACAATGACGGATTCGTTGTCGCTGTTAGTGTTTTGGATTGCAAGCATCTGTGGGTGGGGAATTGCGGGGCTCTGCTGCGTCCCGGCCGAGCTTCGATCGAGCTTGTTGTCCTTTGCAGAAGCGGGCAGGAGTTGTTGAAGTTTGTGTGCGGGCCTCGTCTGCGGCTTTTGGGCGTCCGGCTCTGTGTGTCGGGCCGGCGCGTCGTGGTCTGGGGTCCCGAGGGTAGGAAGGCAGCCGCTTTGATTGATTTGCTTCAGATCTCGTGGCAGGATCCCGTGTTCCTTCTCGTTCGTGTTGCGAAATTTGGCCTCAGACGCCGAGCCACGCATGCCCCTTCTTCCCGTTTCTCAATTCTCGCGCTCCTCTCTTCCTTCTCGTGGTCCTTCCTTCTCGTTGGCTAGATTGTGGCGGTGAGTACGCCGAACCCCGCTTTCATCTTCGAGCTCTGGGTCTGTGGAATGCCGATACTCGGGCGTCTCGGCCTTCTCGTCGAGCCTCGCCAGCTCTCCGGTTGGATATGCTCTTCGACTGACCTGCCGAGGAAGGCCTCGCTTCGGTCTAGAGCGTTCCTCGGATGTATTTCTGATTTCGAGGCTGTGGCCCTGACACGGCATGAGTGATCAAATATTGGAGGAGGAGTTTCAAAATAACCAAAGGTTGACGGGTTTTTCCGACGCTTCTGAGCACGCCTTCTCACTGAAGCGAATTCTATGTCCGTTTGTTCTCTTGCTTACAATCAATGGTCCGGTCGGTGGAGGACGTCGTTTCTGCTCTTACTGTGGTCGTTAATTAGACTGCGACATCTGCTCATCCCCGATGATGTCTCTCTTGCAGGGTGGTCGCAAGCTTAGCGTCGGGGATTGTGCATTATTTCAGGCAGGAAATGCTCCTCCTTTTATCGGCATTTTACGTAAGGTGAATCAAGAGAAGGATTCTACCAAGCTTACCGTGAATTGGCTGTACCGACCAGCTGATGTCAAGCTAGCTAAGGGGGTACCTCTCGAGGCCGCCCCTAATGAAATCTTCTACTCCTTTCACAAGGATGACATATCAGCTGCCTCGCTTTTACATCCGTGCAAAGTTGCTTTCCTACGGAAAGGCGCCGAGCTACCTCCAGGAGTTTCATCTTTCGTTTGTCGACGAGTGTACGACACAGCAAACAAGTGCCTGTGGTGGCTTACTGATCGTGACTACACTGATGTAAGTTTTCACACAACTTTCTGTGCCAGTTTTCATCTCTGGTTATCTGAAGAGGGCAAAATCCCCAATGTTTTCCAGAGGAAGTTCATTCAGTCCAAATTATCTGCGGAATCTTAAATGTGCCCAGCGTGTCCTGACCGGATGCCGGTCCAATTTATTTCTTCCTGGATATGTGAAATCCACCTCCTCCTGACTTCCTTCACAGTTTTAATTTGTTATTTCTCAAGCCTTCAAGAGCTTTTTTCCTCATGCATCCCTGTGCAGACGTTCTGGTCTTGAGACCTAGTATCATGCTAATTTCCATAGACAGAAAGGATGCACATCATGAAAAAGTCATCTGGTTTCATGAGCTTCTGCACGCGACAAATGTAAACATTTCGCGTTCCACTCTCGGACGGTTTCTGTGGACACGAACCATTTCTATGATCCTGATCATGTCATGTTCAACATGTAATTCTAAAACAGGAACATCAAGACGAGGTACACCAGTTGTTGGAGAGGACAAAGCTGGAAATGCAGGCAGTAGTGCAATCAGGAGGGCCTTCACCTAGATCATTGACAGGACCCACCTCTTCTCAACAGTTGAAGCCTAGTTCAGAAGTAGCTCAAAATGTCACCGTCTGTGTTTCGAACAAGGGTAAGAAGCGCGAGCGTGCAGATCAGACCCTGAAGCCCAGCAAGCGTGAGCGATCTTGGAAGTCTGAGGATGGTGAGTCAAGCCCTCTGAAGCGTGAGCGCAGCATGAGGCCTGAAGAGATCGCATCTATCACGGATAAGGATGGAGGGCTGCAGAATCCCTCGTGCGTGGAACGATTAGTTCAGTTGATGCAACAGGACCAAAATGACGGTGTTAGAAAGGCTGCCGATGTCTCGTCTAGACGCACCATACTGGCCGGGGTTGTTGCTGCCACCGAGCGGGACGATTGCCTCAGCCGATTTGTTCAACTAGGAGGCCTGCCTATGCTAGATGACTGGCTTCAAGAAGCGCACAAAGGGAAAGTTGGGGACGGAGGAAGTCCCAAGGAGGGAGAGAAAGGCGTCGAGGAGCTGCTGCTGACGCTGTTAAGAGCTCTTGATAAGTTGCCTGTAGACTTGGATGGTTTGAAGACCTGCAGTGTAGGGAAGTCTGTCAATCACTTGCGCAGTCATAAGAATCTGGAAATTCAGAAGAAGGCACGGAAGTTGGTCGATATCTGGAAAAAGCGCGTGGACGCAGAGATAAAACTCTCTGGAGAAGGAAAATCCGCGTCCAATCATGCGATATGGAATTCTTACAAGCAGTCATCCCCTGATGGGGTGCACTCTCATCTTGTGAAGGGAGGGCCCACAGAGGTTGCTGTGAAAAGTTCTGGTGCTTCTGCCGGTAGCGCGAAGGCTATGCCTAACGGTACCAATTTCGGAGAGGGGCTGTCGAAGCCTTCTGCTCCATTTTCCGCGAACAAAATGACGACTAATTTAGGAGGTAGTTCCGCAGCGATAGTGAAGAAGGAAGAGATGAGCAGCAAACTCTCCACTGGAAGCGCGCCAGGGGAGGTGCCCGGTCTTCCTGTTAAGGACGAGAAAAGCAGTAGCTCTCAATCTCAGAGCAACGGCCAGATATGGGCCGGAATCACGTCGGGGAAAGGTGTGTCAAACTCCGCCTGGAAAGAAGACACGAAAAACTCTTCGATCGTTGGAGCCGGGAACTCTAAACCCGCCGGCTCTGTTTCTCGTCATTCTAGTTTACCCAGCAAAGGATTCCTCGGGGTCGCCACAGGATGTTCAAAGGATCATCTGGGTGGTAAACCGCTCGTATGGAGTCGGAATGCCACGGACAAGAGCGCTACCTCTCCAGCCTCGGCTGCAGAGAAGGGAAGCGCAGACGGAGGACGAGAGAGCTCGAACTCCCGCGACAGACTTATTGCCAGAGGACCCAACTCGGGTCGAAGTCCCGCTAGAATGAACAGCGGATCTTTTGAGCAAGGTGCACCTGGCGGCAGAGGCATGTCGCCTCACATGCCAGAACGGAATGCACCTATGAGCTTGGATAGCTCCGATACGAAGAGCAGGTTACAGAATGGTGCATCGATGGAGGTCAACCATGAGGGCAGAATGGTCTCTAGCGCGGATGATGACCGCGAAAATTACACTAGTTCTGTCCCTGGTGATACCCCAGGAGAGGGGGAGACGAGAGGCGACGAGTCCACCCGGTCAGAAGCAGAGAGATCCTCCAAAGAAGTGCAGGATGCGAACGGCAACAGCAGTGGATTTGCACAGCGCGGTGGTGCTTTGGAGTCTGCAGATGCCAAGAATGGAGAGTCGGCATCAAATGCTACTGGAGCCAATACTGCAGATGTCTCTAACTCTGGGGCGACTGCCATGGAAGTCGAGGATCAGGGGATTAGTTTGTTGGCTAGCGTAGCTGCTAACGAGATCTTCAGAGCAGTCCCGGGCACCACTCACGAGAGAAATCAACCTGATGATTGTGATGGTGACCGGGAGCACGGCGCAAGGTTACCTGATAACACATCACAACGGAAGGAAGTTGGTGACAAGCAGCTTATGGCAAAAGAAGATGGTGACGAAAAAGATTCACCAGAAGTAGCGGGGACTCCAAGCTCCTCAAGCATCAATGCTATCAAGAACAGGGAAGAGGCACGGCTGGATCATAATGCTGATTCTAATGGAGGACCAGCAGGGGACACGAGATCGAATGTCGAAAGTTTCCAGGATGGTAAATCTGACAACGCCGATGCGGAGGCCAAAGAAGTTGAGAAAAGGCTTTTTGCAGTCCACGAGGCTGGGCGGGTTTCAGATGCATCTGGATTTGGAAAATCGTCACTTGATCGCCAAGGAGAGGAAAGGCACATGGAGGAGAGTAACTCGAAGGAGGCTATCGCTCTTTCCGAGCCATTACGTTATAACAGCGATCTCAACACAATAGCAGTGTGTGATACAGAGGGTTCAGAATGTACTCAAGATGGACATGGCGTTCGTAATTCTGGCAAGAAGGATTCACACGACGAGAGGAATTCTTCAATTCTGGGTAAGAGCAACTTGTCTGGAATTGAACTCAACTTGGCCTACGTTAGCGGCGGGAATGACTTCAAAGATGGTAGTGCGAACGATGAGAACATCAAGGTTGGTGTCGATAGTGGACACACTTTCGGAAGAAGAGGAAATGATATGGATGTACACAAGGTTTCGGATATGTCCACCAGTTTTCCCGAAGAAGAGGTGCTGGAAGTGGCTCGTCAAGCAGCAAAGGAAGTAGAGCAGATGGAGAGATGGAAAGACAATAAGTCTGGCGCTATGTCAGGTGACAATGATGGCCAGGATGTTATCTCTCCAGGATTCAAATCATCGGATCCACGAGATACAGGTTTCTCTGATACAGGTCGAGAACACAGGTGGAATCCTCACACCAGCATTGAGAGAGTAAAAGATGAGGACAGTCGCAAGAGAAGCGGCCTTTATTTGGAAGACAATCATGACTCGGCTGCAGAAAGATTGGATCAAGACAGTCTGCGGGCTACGGGAATTGCAGACAATGACGATGACCCATCAAGATGTGGTGGTAGTGGAGACAGAAAGCTGACAAATTCAGGACAAGATGCAGGTGACAGTACTGAGGAGGGCGGTCAAGAACACAAGAGGAGAGTTATCGATGGGCGTGCGCCTGTACGAGTTCCTTCTCTTCATACGACCCAAATGTTGGCTAGTCCTAATATGCCTACATCGTCTTCAGTGTCTTCCTTCGCGCAGCATGTATCGAAACCTTCCCCTCGTAATTTGCCTGCAGGAGAACCCACAACTCCAGAGCAAGCAACAGAATTGGCTGGACCAAATGATGGACCAGTTGGAGGTAGTGATGTTTCAGAGAGACCAGATTTTGACTTGAATGAAGGATTCGCTGTTGAGGAAAGTCCCCATGATGATTCCACCACGTCGCCTATAGGCCCCATTCCAGCAGCTGCCCCGATCTCCTCAAGTGCAACTTTACAGGCCAACGGTGTAGGGGTACCGATAGCAATCGTGACAGCAACGAAGGGTGCTTTCGTGCTACCTGCTAGCCCCATGCGCACCAAGTCTGAGCTTGGGTGGAAGGGTTCTGCAGCGACCAGTGCCTTTCGGCCAGCCGAGCCAAGGAGGACACCTGAGAGACAGGCGGAAAGCGTACATCCAGATCCCGTGCAGTCGATGGAAGTAGTGAAGACGGCGCAGGAAGTTAGGAAAGTTCGTCATCCTTTGAATATTGACCTCAACGTTGCTGATGACAGAGATTTTGATGAAGCTGGGATGTCAACAGTAGCAACAACCACAACCATTTCTTCGCAAGGTTCTGCTGTCGGTATGAGTTCACAAGCTGCACCCGTATCGTCTATATCTCTGTCCGGTATTACCCATCACAGTGAACAGTCCACTTCTGGATCTCAGCAGCAAATTGTGGAGCATTCTGGGACACGACCCATCTTAGACTTGAATTTAATGGACGAAAGCGAAGACAGTGGTACATTACTGGAGACCGATCCAGTGCTTCCTGAAGCAATGGGCTCCTCATCTAAGAGCAATAACAGCTCCTCCTCTCAGGTCAGCAGTCGCGTAATGTTCGACTTTGATTTGAATGATGGCCCTTCAGTTGAGGAACCAGCGGTAGACGATCAACCAGTTGTGCAGTCAGTAAGAGGTTCTCGGCTCTCGAATGCACCGTATATCGCGGTGCCTGGGCTCAGAAGAGCTGCTGAAGTTGTAAGTGTGGCATCTTGGTTTACAAATACATCGTTTCCTGCGGTGGCAATCCCTTCTTTCTCCAACAGGGAGCCGCCCTATTCCGTTGCAGCCGCTGCTGCTGCACAGTCTTACTTCAGTGCAGGCCAAGGTCCTCCTCCGTTCAGCAGTGATATGTACAGAGTTACAACAGGTCTACCATCAGCGCCTGGTGTTGCGTTTCCTTCAAGCACGCCTGCCTACCAATATGGATCATTTTCTCTTCCTTCAGGGTTTGGTTTCTCCTCAGCTGCCAGCTTTGCAGCAAACAATGCTGCACCGTACATGGAGTCTCCAGGATCGTCATCATTTCCAGTAGCGTCATCTGCAGTCGTAGCATCATCGTATGTCCGACCTCCATACTTAATGTCTAGCATTTCCGAGATCGGTCCTTCTGACAGTAGTGGAGGTAGGAGTAGTTGGGGAGCTCGACCAAGCTTGGACTTAAATGCAGGCCCAGAAGCCGCAGATTTAGACGGAGGCCGAGACGACGGCATGAACATGAGACAGAGACATGAGACATCACTAATGGCGGGTCAGGTGTCTCTGGAACAGTTCCGGCTCCTCAGAGGTGCTCCCACTGCAGGGCCCGTTGGCGCTCCGTTACCGAAACGGAAAGAACCTGATGGCGGATGGGATCTGTATAGAAGCAGTGAGTTTAAGCAACAAGCTTGGCGTTAGATCACGTCAGCAGTTGCATGTTTTTGAGCTGCATGTACAGGCTCCTTCAATGAAGCATCCAATATTTGTCTCAAGGTAAAACCCCTCTGGATGATTGGAATATGTCTGCCAGGGTCGCTCTGTAGTGAAGCCTTGGGTCTTGCATCTGAGAATCCTGATAGGCTATAAACACACTGGGAGTTTTCGCGCATGGGGGCATGTGGAGTATCGTTATTGGAGATTGCATTGACGAAGATTTCGCACATCTCGTCCGTAAACCGGCGACTTACTTGCCTGTTGAATGGGGGTTCCTTGGCATTGCATGATGAAAACTTCTTAATAGTGTCTAGTGGGTGGGGCACCCACTAGACAATATTAGGAAGTTAGTTTGATGGGACTTCTGAAGCTAGTCTCTTCCATCAAGAGTGGGTGACCACGACTCTATCTGTTCATATCTGGTAGTCCTTTTAAGGTAATGTAATCCTTCAATTTGATATGCATTCATTTTCTCGTCGTTCACTTCTTCTGTATCTGCTTTCCTCAACCCGGCTGTTCAGGTTCACTGCTTCTATACGGATACCATTCCTATCGGTATAGAAGCAGTGAGGTTCAACTCTGTCGTGTTCGTCATTTCATGTATATATTTTCGAACCTCCTCGTACTCAAGTCTTTTCATCGTCATACATTAACAAGCACAAGGTGTACACACACATCTGGTCACCTTTCTTTTCTGTTCCACTTCAACTAACTCTGCTTGTCCCATTCTGATTCAGGACATTTTCATGAGCTATCTGTTACCATTCTCAGCTACCCGTGATTAAAGGCATTGCTGACTTTTGCGCCTTCACGAAACCCACTTACCAAGTTAAACCTTGTTACACCTTACCACGACTCTTGTGGAGATTTATTTGATTAGCATTGCCCAGCCTGGACGCCGGGTGTTAGGTCGTTAGGACGGGCAAATACGAATGAGTACAGTTAATAAGCTTTGACAATGAAATTACTTTTTTCTGCAAACCAAGTTCTTCCACTAGGCATGTATCGGAGAAAAAGTATCGTCTTGTCACAGTGTTACGAATAGCTTTACTTGTTTTCTTCAGTTTTGTACCCTTCAAGCAATTGCAAACATGAAACTTCATCTCATTTCAATTATGTAATCCAATGACGTGAAGGGTCCTTCCGTCTACCGTCAGGTTGTATATGGTTTTACTTACTTGCAAACTTTGCTATTTGACGAGAACTTCACAGGTCTTTTCGTCTGTTGCCAACGTAATTTGTTTTCAACGTTTATATGAATTTGTTGTAATTATGATTAGTAAGCATGATTTATGTATAAAAGATCTGAAAGTTGATCCATTAAAGTCCATTTCAGGTTTTAAATTGTCTAGCACGGAGGACGAAAGTCTTGTCCATGAGAAGGTGGAGTACATTCTTTTCTTTGGATTTTGTGACGTCAATTGTTTTGTGACGTCACTCTGATTGTGGAGGTGCTGTTATTCATTCACCTCGATTCAAAGTCCGAAGGAGTCGCAGTTATTGCGATCGAACTAGAGTAACTGCAATCGATATGTGTTCGATTTATTCCATTGGTACTTCATCCTAAGGAGGCATTTTATCCTTCTTCCGAATTTCGAATTCTGTTCAAACTCTCAGTTAAAGATCGAACCACCTCACAATTGTTTGGCTCTGGGCCAACCCTGAGAGGGATCTGCAGTTCAAGAGCTCAGGATCTCTTAATCTTCAGGCATTAGATCTTTGCCTATGATCCTGATTCATCTCATGTGTACTCGTTCCTTTGCACATGACTGTCATCAAATCCAGTTCACCTCAAATGCAATCTTCACTACAAGGAGTCCAAAAGTGGTAGTGTATATGATATCAAAGGCTTGCCAGCTATAAACAGTCTTCGTACAGCAGCAGTTTGAAATTGCCTCTTACAGTGACGCTTGTTGAAGCACGCGAATGGTTGTGAAAGTGATGCATGTGAAAGCACGTGAACGGTTGTGAAATTAGTCTTGAAGAAACTAATATATACTCAACAAGTTCCCAAGTGTTGTTGGAATGAAATGATTTCATTTTCCCTTCGCATGGTTCCATTTCACTTTTGTTTCTCGTTAGAAGCTAGAGGTTGTGAGAAAGAAGATAGAGATATAACTTCAATGATCAAAGCTTCGTTATGGAATTTATGCGAGATTTGAGACTACAATATAATTAATACTTTACGTGAAAAATAAAAAGAAAAATCATGAATAGTGTGAGTGACATGTGTGTTAATTGTAAGTAGAATTTTATGTACTGCGTAATTCAAAATTATACTACAAATTTGTATTACATGTTATACTAAAGTTGAGAGTATTACGTATTTCCAAATTATTTTACTAGAATTTAAAGTATTGAGGTCTTCCAAGTTGTACTACATGTAGTTTTACTAATACTTGTGTTATGCTGCACAAGTACTAAGTTTTATTTTTGAAAGTTTTATTGAAATGCTGTATAGTAGAGGATAGGCTGCTCATTATGTTTAGTCTCAACTTTGCGTTTCGCAAGTTGAAGTTTCAAAGTTTTTTTTGCATTTTTTAGTGTTTTGCGCATCAATTGTTTTAGAGTTTTGAGAGTTATTTGTTTTTCTAGATGAGTTGACATTGAATGTTGTGGGATTTCACGGAACCTACATGAGTCAATAACACAAGAAGGTTTTTTTTTTTTTTTTGACAACATCTATTTGAGAAAAAAATGGTCTTAGGAATCAAAACTATTTATTCAAAGTATTTTATTCATTGTAGAGTAGAAGTTGAGCTTTGTTTTAGTTCTTGCTTTAAATCTAGATCGTATATAAATAAAAAGTTATGAGTGTTGGAAATCAAGGGGGTTTTCACAATAATCAAAAGTTTGATTTCACAAAAATTGTACAAAGTAGATTACTTTTTGTATATTTGGAATTAGCCTTTGAATTTTTTAGAAATTTTTATTGGAAGATAAATTATCTGTCAACATAAATTGCATTGAAAAATCACGTCTAAAGAGTAAGTTTTGTTGTTTTGAAGTTCAAGGGATACAAAACCAAGAAAATATATCAAAATGTTTGAATTTCATTATTCGCAGTTTTTTTCCATGTAGAGAAACCTTTTGAGTGTTTTCACCTTATGGATTTACCATATTAGTGTGATGGATTTTGTTGCTAGCTGCCATAGGCCTGACGTCTTCTTGAGTAGCTCTTTTTTCCCAAACAGCGTCACCTGAATTTTCAACATCAAACTTCAATTAATCAATGACGTAAAAGTCAAACCAAATGTCATACCTAGCCTAAGCTTAATGTTCAAGTACATCCTCCAACTGCCGCCTTCACGGAATGAAACGTTTGAATCCCTACTGACAATAAGTTTACAAACATTGACATTCCACAATCTATATTACTTCTATCCTCTTCGATAATCAAGAAATACACATTTCTTGGCTTTAGTATCAAGCTTAGTACTATTATACTTCAAATGAAGAGCATAAACATCACAACCAAAAACCCTCAACATAGACTAATCATCTAACTATTTGCAGCACAATTCAAACAGTGTCTTGAACTTGATAGAGCTATTAGGAGATAAGTTTACAAATAAAGTTACGGTATTCATAACTTCAGCCCAAAATGTATGTGATAAACCAACAAGATTCAACATATTTTGAGAGTGCTCCAATAAGGTGCGGTTGAATCTCTCAAATACACCATTTTGCACTAGAATATATGGTGTGGTGAGATGACGAATAATTTTCTCCTTTTTGCAATACAACTGAAATTTTGTTGAGTTGTATTCCAATCCATTATCTGTGCGAAGATATCTCAACTCCTTTTCAATTTAGATCTCGACTACGGCATTCCAATTCTTGAAAATCTCAAAGATCTCATACTTTTATTCCATGAAGTAAATCCACACACATCTTGAATAGTCATCCACAAAGGTAACGTAGTATAACTTTCCAGAGTGTGAGGGACAAGGATCCACACATAAAAATGAATGTAATCAAGAATTTCCTATGAGCTATGCAGTCCAATGCTGTCGTGAGGATTATTGAAGATTGAGACTATAATGTAGTTAGTGTTTTGTGTGAGCTTAAGTTAGGCAAAAAAATCATAAATAGTGGGAGTGCTATGTGTGTTTATTGTAACTAGAGTTGAATGTTCTACATACTTCCAAGTTGTACGACAAACTTGTATTACGCGTTGTTTAGAGTTGAATGTACAATATACATTCGCTTAAGTCCGCATTCATTTAAGTCCACATCCTAATTAAGTTCGCACTTCAAAACCCAAATTCTTGGATCAATTCTCAAGAGTGTATTTTATAGAAAATCAAATAGAGTCATTTGACGGCTATTTTTAATTTGCTACTGAGCTATTGCGGATCGTCTAGTTTGTAAAATGCTACGGACTGTGAATAGTGATGCCTTGGCCTGATTTATATGGTTGGATAACAAATATGGCAAAGATTTCAGGTCACTCATATTGACATCGAGACTGATTGCACTCTCTAAAGACTTAAGTATAACATCGCGCTGATCAATGTCGTTGTGAGCCGAGATTGATTCGGGTTCATCGTCTTCAGATTCGATGACAGACTTCTGAAAAAGGACTTCACCCATTGCTTGTTCGATCTCTTCAGGAATAGTATTTTTGAATAGCTTTGAATCATCGTTGTCATCTACTGTTTGGTAGTCGGCGGTTTGGATTGCTCCGATACAATGATAATTTCCATTCTTTAACGGTAATTCAGACGTTGATTGTGAACTTTGCGTTTCACCTCACATCTGCTCATCGTTGCAAATAAACTCAAAACTGTGTTTCATGCGTGCTAACCCGAATCTTCATGTGTATTAACCCTAATCTTCCTTAGGTCCGCATCTCAGTTAAGTCCGCACTAGACCTCCCGGATCAAGTTGCGGACTTAAGCGAGTGTATACTATAGTACATACTTCCAAGTTGTACGACAAACTTGTACTACGCGTTGTCTAGAGTTGAATGTAGTACATACTTCCAAGTTGTCTAGAGTTGGATGTAGTACATACTTCCAAGTTGTACGACAAACTTGTAGTATGCGTTGTCTAGAGTTGAATGTAGTACATACTTCCAAGTTGTACTATAGTTGTACTACTCACGTACTACATTTTACTTTTGATAGTTTTTTTGAAAAGCTATATAGTAAAGAATAAACTTTTTTGAAAGCTATACAATATAGAATAAACTTTTTTGAAAAGCTATATAGTAAAAAATAAGCGTTTCCCAACTTTGCTTTTCACAGGTTGATGGTTCGAGGATTTTCACATTTTTTTAGGATTTGTGTGTGTTTCAAAATTTCTTTGTTTTTCTAGGCGACTTGACATTGAATGTTGCAGGATTTGACAAAGCCAACGGAAGTAGTTAGTAGGAAAAGATGCTCATTTTTTCCAAATGACGTCCGTTTGAAAAAAAATGTTTGTAGGAATAGAAAAACATTTTTTCAAATTTTTTTATTGATTGTAGAGCGAAAGTTGAGGTATGTTTTTGTTTTTGTTTCAAGTCAAGATAACCATCTTGGCACTAATCCATCTCTATGCTTAACCTTGGAATACAATTGACAGACCTTGCAAGTTTTCACATACTCACCTACATCCACATACATGCTTGGCCACCAATAGACTTTCTTCACTCTCTCATAGATAGTCTCTCCGCCCTTGTGATCTGCAATGTCAAAATCGTGTAGATTCTGCAAAATCTTGCTCTTCTCTTTGTTTGTATCAATAATCCGTAGAAGTATGTGACTCTTCTTTTTTTGTTGACTCCAAAGAACTTCATCTCTCAACATGAATTGGTAGGATTTTTTCCTAATACTATAGACAGTGTCCGCATTCCATTGTGAATTCTTCTCTAACGTATTAAGATAGTGTACTAAATGCATCAACTCCCCTAAATGCAAATCTTTACGAAACTTCAACTACTCATAATCATCCTCACTAGTCATACTCATACTTGTGGCATGCTTCAAATACTCTTGACTGAAATATCTAGCTATAAAAAGCATATCGGCAATTGGATTATCTTTTCCAACAATATGCTTAAGCTTTGGATTAAACATTTTAAAAAACGCTATCCATGTGAACATAGCAAAATCCGGAATATCTCAATTTGCAATCATGATTAATAAAGTCAAAAGATATGTCTCTAGGTTTACATCAGCT